TAGTGGTGGCGATGGTGGCAGTGGTGCTAGTAGTGGTGGTGGCAGTGGTGCTAGTAGTGGTGGTGATGGCAGTGGTGCTAGTAGTGGTGGTGATGGTGGCAGTGGTGCTAGTAGTGGTGGTGATGGTGGCAGTGGTGCTAGTAGTGGTGGTGATGGCAGTGGTGCTAGTAGTGGTGGCGATGGTGTCAGTGGTGCTAGTAGTGGTGGTGGCAGTGGTGCTAGTAATGGTTGTGATGGTGGCAGTGGTGCTAGTAGTGGTGGCGATGGTGGCAGTGGTGCTAGTAGTGATGGTGGCAGTGGTGCTAGTAGTGGTGATGATGGTGGCAGTGGTGCTAGTAGTGGTGGTGATGGTGGCAGTGGTGCTAGTAGTGGTGGTGATGGTGGCAGTAGTGCTAGTAGTGATGGTGGCAGTGGTGCTAGTAGTGGTGGTGATGGTGGCAGTGGTGCTAGTAGTGGTGGTGATGGTGGCAGTGGTGCTAGTAGTGGTGGCGATGGTTGCTGGTGATTGATGGTGGTAGTGATGCTAATAGTGGTGGTGATCGCTGCTGGTGATTGATGCTGGTAGTGATGCTAGTAGTGGTGGTGATGGTGGCAGTGGTGCTAGTAGTGGTGGTGATGGTGGCAGTAGTGCTAGTAGTGGTGGTGATGGTGGCAGTGGTGCTAGTAGTGGTGGTGATGGTGGCATTGGTGCTAGTAGTGGTGGTGATGGTGGCAGTGGTGCTAGTAGTGGTGGCGATGGTTGCTGGTGATTGATGGTGGTAGTGATGCTAATAGTGGTGGTGATCGCTGCTGGTGATTGATGCTGGTAGTGATGCTAGTAGTGGTGGTGATGGTGGCAGTGGCGCTAGTAGTGGTGGTGATGGTGGTAGTGGTGCTAGTAGTGGTGGTGATGGTGGCAGTGGTGCTAGTAGTGGTGGCAATGGTTGCTGGTGATTGATGGTGGTAGTGATGCTAATAGTGGTGGTGATGGCTGCTGGTGATTGGTTGATAGTGGTGCTAGTAGTGGTGGTGGTGGTTGGTGATGGTGGTAGTGGTGCTAGTAGTGGTGGTGATGGTGGCAGTGGTGCTAGTAGTGGTGGCGATGGTTGCTGGTGATTGATGGTGATAGTGATGCTAATAGTGGTGGTGATTGGTTGTGGTAGTGGTGCTTGGTGATGGTGGTAGTGGTGCTAGTAGTGATGGTTGCTGGTGATTGATGGGTGGTGGTGGTGCTAGTAGTGGTGGTGATGGTTGCTGGTGATTGGTTGTGGTAGTGGTGCTAGTAGTGAGTGATGGTTGCTGGTGATTGATGGTGGTAGTGGTGCTAGTAGTGGTGGTGGTGGTTGCTGGTGATTGATGGTGGTAGTGATGCTAGTAGCGGTGGTGATGGTTGCTGGTGATTGGTGGTGGTAGTGGGGCTAGTAGTGGGTGATGGTTGCTGGTGATTGATGGTGGTAGTGGTGCTAGTTGTGGTAGTTGGTGATGGTGGTAGTGGTGCTAGTAGTGGTGGTGATGGTTGCTGGTGATTGATGGTGGTAGTGGTGCTAGTAGTGGTGGTGATGGTTGCTGGTGATTGGTTGTGGTAGTGGTGCTAGTAGTGAATGATGGTTGCTGGTGATTGATGGTGGTAGTGGTGGTGGTTGGTGATGGTGGTAATGATGCTAGTAGTGGTGGTGGTGATTGATGGTGTAGTGATGCTAGTAGCTGTGGTGATGGTTGCTGGTGATTGGTGGTGGTAGTGGTGCTAGTAGTGGGTGATGGTTGCTGGTGATTGATGGTGGTAGTGGTGCTAGTAGTGGTGGTGATGGTTGCTGGTGATTGGTTGTGGTAGTGGTGCTAGTAGTGAGTGATGGTTGCTGGTGATTGATGGTGTAGTGGTGTGGTTGGTGGTGATGGTGGTAGTGATGCTAGTAGTAGTGGTGGTGGTTGCTGGTGATTGATGGTGGTAGTGATGCTAGTAGTGGTGGTGATGGTTGCTGGTGATTGGTGGTGGTAGTGGTGCTAGTAGTGGGTGATGGTTGCTGGTGATTGATGGTGGAAGTGGTGCTAGTTGTGGTGATTGGTGATGGTGGTAGTGGTGCTAGTAGTGGTGGTGATGGTTGCTGGTGATTGATGGTGGTACTGGTGCTAGTTGTGGTGGTTGGTGATGGTGGTAGTGGTGCTAGTAGTGGTGGTGATGGTTGCTGGTGATTGATGGTGGTACTGGTGCTAGTTGTGGTGGTTGGTGATGGTGGTAGTGGTGCTAGTAGTGGTGGTGATGATTGCTGGTATTGATGGTGGTAGTGGTGCTAGTAGTGGTGGTGATGGTTGCTGGTGATTGGTTGTGGTAGTGGTGCTAGTAGTGAGTGATGGTTGCTGGTGATTGATGGTGGTAGTGGTGCTAGTAGTGGTGGTGATGGTTGCTGGTGATTGGTTGTGGTAGTGGTGCTAGTAGTGAGTGATGGTTGCTGGTGATTGATGGTGGTAGTGATGGTGGTTGGTGGTGATGGTGGTAGTGATGCTAGTAGTAGTGGTGGTGGTTGCTGGTGATTGATAGTGGTAGTGATGCTAGTAGCGGTGGTGATGGTTGCTGGTGATTGGTGGTGGTAGTGGTGCTAGTAGTGGGTGATGGTTGCTGGTGATTGATGGTGGTAGTGGTGCTAGTTGTGGTGGTTGGTGATGGTGGTAGTGGTGCTAGTAGTGGTGGTGATGGTTGCTGGTGATTGATGGTGGTAGTGGTGCTAGTAGTGGTGGTGATGGTTGCTGGTGATTGGTTGTGGTAGTGGTGCTAGTAGTGAGTGATGGTTGCTGGTGATTGATGGTGGTAGTGGTGGTGGTTGGTGGTGATGGTGGTAGTGGTGCTAGTAGTGGTGGTGGCGGTTGCTGGTGATTTATGGTGGTAGCGGTGCTAGTAGTGGTAGTGATGGTTGCTGGTGATTGGTTGTGGTAGTGGTGCTAGTAGTGAATGATGGTTGCTGATGATTGATTGTGGTAGTGGTGCTAATAGTGGTGGTGATGGTTGTTGGTGATTGGTTGTGGTAGTGGTGCTAGTAGTGGGTGATGGTTGCTGGTGATTGATGGTGGTAGTGGTGGTGGTGGTGGTGATGGTGGTAGTGGTACTAGTAGTGGTGATGATGGTTGCTGGTGAAGGTCTCAGTAGTAGTACCAGTTCCTTACCAGTAACCAGTGTACCAGTAGATGACTCAATACCAACCGTCTGTGTGAATCATTGACTGTATTCATATTGCTGCTGACCATAGCAGGATTTCAAACACCCTCACCCATAGGCACTATGGGTCAGTCGACGATAGGCAGCAGAGACAGGTCGGCTGTTGGTGCTTCCCATACGAGCTCTCAGTAGTAGTACCAGTTCCTTACCAGTAACCAGTGTACCAGTAGATGACTCACTACCAACCGTCTGTGTGAATCATTGACTGTATTCATATTGCTGCTGACCATAGCAGGATTTCAAACACCCTCACCCGTAGGCACTATGGGTCAGTCGACGATAGGCAGCAGAGAGAGACAGGTCGGCTGTTGGTGCTTCCCATACTTCCCGATATATATTATACATACTACCAGCCTACGTGAGTATTCTTACCCCATCCACATATCGAAAACCCACATGACAATGGATGGTGGTTGGTGGTGGTGATGGTGGTAGTGGTGCTAGTAGTGGTGATGATGGTTGCTGGTGATTGATAGTGGTAGTGGTGATGGTTGCTGGTGATTGATAGTGGTAGTGGTGCTAGTAGTGGTGATGGTGGTAGTGGTGCTAGTAGTGGTGATGGTGGTAGTGGTGCTAGTAGTGGTAGTGGCGGTTGCTGGTGATTGATGGTGGCAGTGGCGCTAGTAGTGGTAGTGATGGTTGCTGGTGATTGGTTGTGGTAGTGGTGCTAGTAGTGAGTGATGGTTGCTGGTGATTGATGGTGGTAGTGGTGCTAATAGTGGTGGTGATGGTTGCTGGTGATTGGTTGTGGTAGTGGTGCTAGTAGTGGGTGATGGTTGCTGGTGATTGATGGTGGCAGTGGTGGTCGTTGGTGGTGGTGATGGTGGTATTGGTGCTAGTAGTGGTGATGATTGCTGGTGATTGATGGTGGTAGTGGTGCTAGTAGTGGTGGTGATGGTTCCTGGTGGTTGGTTCCTGATGGTGGTAGTGGTGGTGGTTGGTGGTGGTGATGGTGGTAGCAGTGCTAGTAGTAGTGGTGGTGGTTGGTGATGGTGGTAATGGTGCTAGTAGTAGTGGTGGTGGTTGGTGATGGTGGTAGTGGTGCTAGTAGTGGTTGGTGGTGGCGGTGGTAATTGGTGCTAGTAGAGGTGGTGGTGGTGGCGGCCGTGACGGTTGGCGGTGGTAATGGTGGTAGCGGTGCTAGTAGTGGTGGTGGTGGTGGTAGTTGCTGATGAGTGGTGGTGGTAGTGGTGATGGTGGTGGTGGAGGTAATTGATGGTGAGTGGTGGTGGTGGTAGTAGTGGTGAGTAATGATGGTGAGTTTTGGAAAGAGAGAGAGAGAAGAGAGGAGAGAGAGAGAGAGAGAGAGAGAGAGAGAGAGAGAGAGAGAGAGAGAGAGAGAGAGAGAGAGAGAGACTGTGTATGTGAGACTTACTGTTTTGTGAAGACTGTTGTGTGTAGGAAAGTTACTGTTGTATGTCAGTGTTGAAAGACTTACTGTTAAAAGAGCCGCTGTTGTGTTTATTACAGATGAAACATGAATTAAGCTGATGAAAGGAGCGTTTATTTACATGCGAACAGTCTTATAGTTAAAAGGTTTAAAATTAGTTTACTACAGCTTTAGGAACAAGGTGAAACGAGCGATGAGGAAGACATGCAAATCAGCGAAACTTTATCATACCAATGTTTCGAGCAATGAGAGCTTTATCAAGTTCTATCTTAAAAAAAGCTTTAGAGCCAAACATTGTTTTAGTAAAGTGTTGCGCTCTCTCACGTGCCTTTATCATCAAGTTACTCTTGACCAGCTTGTGAGGCATTTATTTTTTGTTTTAGTTGCGAAGAAATATTTCATTAAGACACAGAGAGTTCTTACCGTGGCGAGGCTCCGTTTCGTAAGTTCTTGGTGTAACTCTCCCATATACTGTACAGGGATAGATACAGAGCATCAGTACACACTCACCCGGACACACACTCACTACCTCTATATGCAAAACAAATCATACATTAATTTTTCTCGTGAAAGGCAAATTAGATCATATATGAAGAAAACAGTGAAAGTGTTGGAGGGTGAGCTCTGACGAAGTCTTGGTTGCCTGGTTTATTTGTCAGGTTTAAAGACTATCGACTACACGAGGGTCGGCTGCTTGTCACCTGTACATCACCGCTCAATATAATAATGTTATGAGAATGATAATGATACACAGTACCGACAAGTTGATAAGTTAGCCACATGTGCAACAGTTCGGTATCTTTATTCGACTAGGGAAGCCTACTGTGTAGGCGAGACGTTTTGAAATAAATATATCTAACTATTGCACATGTGTCTTACATATTCTGATAATGGTATACAATACCAATAAGTCACCTGCACCATGAGTCAAGAATACTTTAATCTCTAAAACAAGAATTAAAGAAAACTCTCAGTGTGTATGTACACAGAGCTACACACAGCTGCGGTGGTACTTAATGACATACTCTGGAGTGTTGAAACCTTAGTTTGTGTGTTTGTGGCATCGCAGGGTGTACTCAGCTTACATTGTGTGTTTGTGGCATCGCAGGGTGTACTCAGCTTACATTGTGTGTTTGTGGCATCGCAGGGTGTACTCAGCTTACATTGTGTGTTTGGTGGCATTGCAGGGTGTACTCAGCTTACATTGTGTGTTTGTGGCATCGCAGGGTGTACTCAGCTTACATTGTGTGTTTGTGGCATTGCAGGGTGTACTCAGCTTACATTGTGTGTTTGTGGCATTGCAGGGTGTACTCAGCTTACATTGTGTGTTTGTGGCATCGCAGGGTGTACTCAGCTTACATTGTGTGTTTGTGGCATTGCAGGGTGTACTCAGCTTACATTGTGTGTTTGTGGCATCGCAGGGTGTACTCAGCTTACATTGTGTGTTTGTGGCATTGCAGGGTGTACTCAGCTTACATTGTGTGTTTGTGGCATTGCAGGGTGTACTCAGCTTACATTGTGTGTTTGTGGCATCGCAGGGTGTACTCAGCTTACATTGTGTGTTTGTGGCATTGCAGGGTGTACTCAGCTTACATTGTGTGTTTGTGGCATCGCAGGGTGTACTCAGCTTACATTGTGTGTTTGTGGCATCGCAGGGTGTACTCAGCTTACATTGTGTGTTTGTGGCATTGCAGGGTGTACTCAGCTTACATTGTGTGTTTGTGGCATCGCAGGGTGTACTCAGCTTACATTGTGTGTTTGTGGCATCGCAGGGTGTACTCAGCTTACATTGTGTGTTTGTGGCATCGCAGGGTGTACTCAGCTTACATTGTGTGTTTGTGGCATCGCAGGGTGTACTCTTGCCACTCCCGGCACTAGTACTGCCTTTATGGTAAGTTTTGATCAAATGTGACACACGGGACCAGGAGCTGTACCTAGACGCCTGCAAATGCAACTAGATGAGTATACAAATTCTATGATCTAACGTTGCCTCTGCTACATAGTAACTTACCTGAGTTTTGTATAGAGGAACTTAAAAATACAGGAGTACTGTAGTAGTCGTCTTGGCCCATGCTAGGCAGGTCTTACTGGCCCGTGCTAGGCATGTCTTACTGGCCCATGCTAGGCAGGTCTTACTAGCCCATGCTAGGCAGGTTCTACTGGCTCATGCTAGGCAGGTCCTACTGGCCCATGCTAGGTAGGTTTTACTGGCCCATGCTAGGCAGGTCCTACTGACCCTTGCTAGCCAGGTTTTGTACATGGATGGTATACAATACCGATAAGATAAAATTAAGACACTTATGCAACATCTGGGTATCTTTATTGTAGACGTTTCGCCATCCAGTGTTTTTATCAATACAAATTCAAGGATATGACTGGAAAACAGTAGAACTATATACAAAAGATGAGGTAATCAGTCCCTCAGTCTTGGAGTTGGTGTGAAGAGCACCGTAGTCGTGAACATTCTGCACATATTGTATTAATATTGTATTAATATTGTATTAATATTGGTAGAATTGCCAACAATATGTTAAGTAAAAGGACGTAAATGCAACTAATGTGACATAACGGCTTGACAAAGCTCCTGGAGAGCGAAACGTTGCTACAATGTCACTTTAGTTGCATTTGTGTCCTTTTACTTAACACATTCTCTACATAAGTGTCTTTTTTCCAAACTTTGTGGGTATCACCAGATCATTTCTCAACACTTGGGTATCTTTATTCTGGCGAAACGTTTCCAGAATAAGGATACCCAGGTGTTGCACAAGTGTCTCATTTATCATTATGATAATAATGATGACGTTGATGATATATTTGTCAGGAAAAATGTCCTAATAGATGTCTTTATCACATGCAGACCCGTTGATAATGGTATAACATACCGACAAGTTGAAAATTAATACACATGTGCAACAGTTGGATGAACATCAAAATGGTATACAATACCGACAGGTTGTTAGGTAAGACACATATGCAACAGTTAGACAACTTTATTCTTTATTCTTCGACTGAAGAAGCCTACTGTGTAGGCGAAACGTTTCGGAATAAAGTTGTCTAACTGTTGCATATGTGTCTTACCTAACAACAGTTGGATGTTTTTATTGATGAAACGTTTCGCCTACACAGTAGACTTCCTCAGTTAAATACAGAGGCAGCAGTAGTAATGAAATAAAGATGATGTAATCAGTCCATCAACAAGATTAGGCCAATGTTTTTGTTTGTGGGTTCTGATTTGACCTGGACCTGCCAAGTATAGGCCAGTAGGCCTGCTGCTGTGGTCCTCCTTTCTTATGTTCTTACTTGGGTATTTTTATTTGTGGAAACGTTTTGCCAACCAGTAGCTTCATCAGTCCAGTACAGAGAAGAATGATTGAAGATCAGAAGGAGTTTGAGGTAATCAGTCCCTCAGTCTGGAGTCGATGTCATCAGTCCATCAGTCTTGATGAGACTGATCTTGATGGACTGATGACATCGACTCCAGGCTGACGAATTGATTACCTCAAACTCCTTCTGATCTTCAACAATTCTTCTCTGCATTGGACTGATGAAGCCACTGTGTGGCGAAACGTTTCCACAATAAAGATAGCCAAGTGTTCACATGTGTCTAATTCATTATCCTGTCTGTTCTCTGGACCATTTATCTACATGGTAACTAATGTACCATGCGTAGTGTCTTCAGTGTTACGTAGTTAGCGTCTTCAGTTTAATCACAGCAACAAATTCATTGTCACAGCAACACACATACCCTCGTGGTCTCTCTCTCTCTCTCTCTCTCTCTCTCTCTCTCTCTCTCTCTCTCTCTCTCTCTCTCTCTCTCTCTCTCTCTCTCCTCTCTCTCTCTCTCTCTCTCTCTCTCTCTCTCTCTCTCTCTCTCTCTCCGCACGTCAGGTCACATCAACACACTCACGAGCGGCAGCAACCTGCTTGTTATCATGTGCTGTCTTCTCGGGGTGGAATCAACACACTTGCGGTCGCATAACACTCTGGGTGGTGTTGATCATCCCAAACACAGTTCTTTTCCCAGGGTCACATAGTTGCCTTCACTTCCCCCCCCCCCCATCCCCACGCACACAGGGCTCCTAGGAAGAAGCACAGCTCTTGCAAGGGTCATTTTGACCTGTGTCATTTTGGTCTGTTATTTTAACCTGTGATATTTTGACCTGTGTCATTTTGGTCTGTTATTTTAACCTGTGATATTTTGACCTGTGTCATTTTGGTCTGTTATTTTAACCTGTGATATTTTGACCTGTCAGTTTGGTCTGTTATTTTAACCTGTGATATTTTGACTTGTGTCATTTTGACATATAACATTTTGAACTGTCATTTTGAACACCTGATATGGCTAGAGTGTAGACAGGCATAGAAAACTGGGTAGATGTGACTAGGGTGAGGGGAGGAGTAGAAAGGAGGGGGGGGCAGGTATTACCAGGATGTAAGTAGATGTAGCCAGGATGTAGGTACCTGGAGTCTATCAACAGTCCCTTCCGGAGGTCACCGCCCTCTCAGCCCAGTCCCAGACCAGGCCTCCTGGTTACTGGCCTGATCGATCAAGCTGTTATTGCCCGGCGCCCACAGTCCAACGTATGCACCACAACCTGCCTGATCTGGAACTGTTTTGAGAAATCGGTCTAGTTCCCTCTTAAAGACAGCCAGGGTTTTTTTGTGATTCTCCTTATTGCATTTACTAAGTTCTCTCTCAGTGTACTCATCACTCTCCTGTTTTTCATTTGGAGGTATCCTGCGGCCTCTGCCAAGCCTCTTGTGTTTATAGTAGTAATTTCGGGTGCAGGTTTATGACAGATCCCTCCAGTATCTTTCTGGTGTAGATTATGATGCATCTTTCTCGCCTACCTTCTGAGGAGTACAGTTCTAGGAACTTAAGCACTTCTGGTAATTTAGGTACTTGACTGAGCTTCAACGAGCTGTAATAGTACTCTGTACATTTTCCAGCTCTGCAGTTTCGCCCACTTTGAACGGGGGTCATTAATACGCAGCAATATTCCAGTATAAAGAGAACGAGTGACTTGGAAAAATTCAGATTCAGGAAGGTTATAGGAAAGCATTGGTTTGGTAATAGAGTTGTGGATGAGTGGAACAAACTCCCGAGTACCGTTATAGAGGCTAAAACGTTGTGTAGTTTTAAAAATAGGTTAGATAAATACATGAGTGGGTGTGGGTGGGTGTGAGTTGGACCTGATTAGCTTGTGCTACTAGGTCAGTTGCCGTGTTCCTTCCTGACTAGGTTGGGGCATTGGCTTAAGCCGGTAGGAGACTTGGACTTGCCTCGCATGGGCCAGTAGACCTGCTGCAGTGTTCCTTGTTTCTTATGTTCTTATGTTCTTAAGAGTATCATAGGCTTGGTATTCGTTGTTTTGAAGGTTCTAGTTATCCAAACTATCAGTTTTCTTGCAGTTTCGATAATAACATTGTTGTGCTGTTAGAACGTGAGATCTTTTGTCATCATCACGTCC